TAAAGTAAAGTAAAAATATCAGAAAAATCTACTTGAGTACAGTAACGAAGTATTTGTACTTCGTTACTTCCCATCTGTGAATTGCAGTAATCCAACAAGAACTTTTCCAAGTCACACTAGAAAGGAGGTTTTGTCACAGAGAGAGATGTCTAAAATAAAATATATTATTGCCACACATATACATTTATTTTTAAATCCCAGGGCAACGTGTATTTTAACACCTTAGTTAGTGAAGATAGACCTCAAAGGAAATCAGCACCGAGGGAACATTTGGAGCATTTGGTTCTAAATAAGATAATTTTGGTTTTACATTTATTGAAATAAAAGAAAAAATAAGAACCATCCATGATTTGATTTCTTGAGTCAACAAGAAGCGGAATAGAGTGATCATCAGATTGCTAAGGTTAGAATAAACAGTCATCTGCACATTGATAGATTTAAATCTCTGTAAAGGAGAAAAAGAGCTGGTCTTAGAACAAAGCCTTGCGGTACTCCCTTTGGCAGGTCAGCACAGGATGAGGTAGGGTGGTCATCCTGTGTTGACCACCTATTTTTACCACATTAGTGTTTAAAATTATTGTTTCAATGAAAACATCCATGTCTGGTTGGATACCAAATGCTGTCAGAAGACACATTTTAACAGAACATAAACAAACACTTGACTTATCTTTGCATAAGCATACAGATTGAATGTTGTTTCTTCCTCCACAGGCTGCGGATGAGAGGAACTATCACATCTTCTACTGCATGTTGAAGGGCATGGCTCCAGAGATGAAGGCTAAATTGGGTCTTGGCCTTGCCAGAGAATACTCCTACCTCACCACGGTGAGACCAGCATTGTGATCCACAGATTAGACAACACATACCGTAAATCCTCTAATATAGGCCGGGGCCTTTATTTCACTCAGGTGCATCTTGACAGCAAAGCCATTATTAACCGGCTGCTAATGGAATACAGGCCAATATTGGAGGATTTACGGTAAATATTTGTATTATAAGATACCAGACTAAACTTTTTTGGTTTGAGGTCAGTTATTATTAAGAGAAGCTGAATATCAGAATAGTGAGTATGTGAGCAAGGTTTGCATTAATCAGTAAAAAAATAAAAATATTTTTGATCACGATCACTGAGTCTGAGAGCAGCCATTTTGAGCAGTATGTAATTCATATTTAAAGTACTTTCAGAAGTTTGAATTCTGAATATTACTAGACTCTTCCTTTAAAAGACCCACCCTCTCCACTTGCACAAATAAATGCACATTCATGACCCTGTACCTGCTCCCGAGAGGGAACGCCTATTATATAGCAACTTTTAACCGAACAGAGTCCAGGGAAGAGGTTTAACGGGTTTTATTGAAGAAGTAAACAGGGGGAGAAGTGTTGCTCTGAACTCTGCTCAACCGGAACTGCAAAGTGAGGGGAAGACACAGCGGTTAGTTCAGGCTCAGTGGGGAATTTGAAGAGGTTTTCGTGAAACTTGGAGAAGAGGTTTTGGTTGCCGACTCACGTTTCCAGTGAAGTTGTTGTGTCCTTGACTCCTGTCTGTGTGCCGTGGTTCCAGTGTTTGATTCGGTGGAGGGCGGAACAGGTTTTACCCAGAATGCGTTTGATAGTTAGAGAACGGAGATACTGACTGCCACTCAGATTTCCTGCGGTACTTGAACGGGTCGTTGTGGAGAATAATCCCTTTCTCAGTGGAAAGCTCAAATTATCTCTTGGGGAAAGTGGATCCAAACCTCCTGTTTGAACCCCAGCTCAGTTAGAAGCTCAGCTGATCCTTCCAGGGAGTGAAGGTCCGAGAGATCCAGCTAGCAGGACAACTTCCTGCCAAGAGGCAAAGAAAAAAGAAAGTTAAACTCAGGTTGACAAAAACTCAGCTTGGCTCAGCAAACTCAGCTTGGCTAGAGTACCTTAAACTGGCAAACACTCTGGCGTCGAAGTAGTGGCAGTCAGCAGCTTAAGAACACTCCGTTTAACGAGGAAACCATCCGCAGGTGTGTGAGGAGGCGGACCAGAACCAGGCGCCTCCTGGTGGATGAAGGGAGACAAACACAGAAAACACAGACACAAAAACAGAAGTCCTGACAGCATCAGTTCCTTCTGCAACAAAGCATCCCAAGATTATTCTGGCACCCAGTCTTCTCAGGCTTACAAACCTTCCTCTTTTTGTCCTCTAGATGCAGTAAAATCAGGCCTTTATTTACTTGTAAAATTGTCAATACCTAGAACTCCAGAAGTCTTAACCTCTTCCTGTCTTCTACATTTTTAGGGTAACTGTACTGAATGTGACGGCCGTGATGACCTCGCTGATTATTCCAGCATCCTTTCAGCCATGAAGGTCCTTATGTTTAGCGAGACGGAGAACCTGGAGATTTCAAAGCTGCTGGCAGCCATCCTGCATTTGGGAAACCTGCGATTTGAAGGTATTTATTTCTACACCTCAGAATCATTACCTGTAGATGCGTGGAGGTTGGTCAAACATTTTCTCACTTCCTGCAGCTCGCACTTACGACAATCTGGACGCTTGTGTGGTTGTGAGGTCTCCGGACTTGATGACTGCTGCTTCACTCATGGAGGTCTGTACCAATCTAGGAATTATGTCCAACACTGTAGTTCATGCTTATACTGTAAGTCATTATATTCTATTTATACTAATTCATGACTTATAGGTTATATAAAAAGGAATAAGGGACTGAAAGGCATCATTTTGTCATGAAATCTCATAAAACCATGAAGTACAAAGATGATAATGATGCCTTAATAATAAAACATAAACATCTACCTTTCATTCGATGGCTGGTAACGTGTGTACTGGTCAACTAACAAGCTTTTTCAAAACCAATAATAAATCACTGCTGCTGTGCAATAAAAGCCATGACATGATATAAGCTGAAGAAATATACAAATGGCTGGTTTTAAAAGTATTCAGGAGGTTAAAGACATGCAGGGTTATTCAGGGCTCTCAGCCAATTCAACCTGGAGAAAAGCTGCAATTAAAAAAACATTTAATTTATTTATGCAGGTAACACAATCATATTCTTCAAAAAATATTTCTATCTAAGGAAAACCAGTTGATTGCATCAACTCATCAACTCTCTGCAATCCCTCAAACTGAACATGCATGCAGCGACAGTGGAGAGGAAAACTCCCTTTTAAGAGGAAGAAGAACCAGGCTCCGTGTGAGCGGCCATCTGCAAAGGCCGACTGGGGTTCAAGGGGACAGAAGCTGAAAAGGACATAAATGAAATTGAATTGAAAGTAATTTGGAGCAAATCAGCATTTAGAAAACGATTAAAGTAGTCTTTTCCCGGGGGCCTGGATATTGGTGGTGGAATAAGCCAGTGGGTGAGTGGGACAGAATAATCTGAGAATGTGGGAGGAACCAGGGTGGAGGTGGGTGAAAGTTAACTTGCCTGCGGAAGTGAGAAGCTGGGCCATGAGCTACATAAAGGGGATCTCAAATGATTATTGGCTTTGGAGAAGATACAGCCCCCTCAGCGGATTGGCTGGGGATGAACAAGGGTTGTCGCATTTGATCGAGGTGAAGTTGATAAGAGTCTTTCAGTTTGAATTTACTTCATTTCTAAAAATCTTATATGCAAAGACATTTTGATGTTGCTCACAGTAATTATTAAAACTGTTCTTGGCTTACTGCTTTTTCACCACAAACTGAAAAAATAAATGAATACATAAATAACACCAAACCTACCACAGACCAGTGAGACTGCTATATATTTCAATTATAAAATAATATTTCTGATATATTTTGGGACTGAAAATAATAAAGTATATTCTATGTTGTTTTTATTCAATTCAGTTTATTTATATAGCGCCAATTTACAACACACGTAATCTCAAGGCACTCTACATGTTGTTCACCAGATCATCCAGTCAGATTGGTTCAAAGTTTTCTATCTGAGGAAACAGTGGAGAGGAAACCTCCAGCAGAACCAGGCTCAGTGTGAGCGGCTCTCTGCTGAGTCGGACTGGGGTTCAAATGTGAATTGAAACAACCTGCCCTCTCCACTTCGAATAAAAAAATGCACATGCACAACCCCGTACCTGCTCCCGAGAGGAAACGCTTTTTAAGCCTGTGCGAGAGCGTGCACGAACCCATTTCTCCTGGTGCACGCTCTTGTTTAAAAGTTTCTGTTTGCATCGCTCATACAATCTTACTTTCCAAAAGAAAATTTACAATTTTTCCACTATGTCAGACTCACCACCGGTAAGTGAAAATGGGGACGAGCATGTAGGACGGCCTTAACGTACACTTATCACCAGAATGATTAACAATTAGGAGGACCACCTACTTTGATGATGAACCTAGAAAAAGAACTTTTTTTAAATGCCACCCTAAGTACATTCTCTGCTATGCTTCTTGTTGAGGGCGGTAAGGTTCAGTTCCTTATTCAGGTCCTGAGCAATGATGGTGATGGAAGGGAAAGGGGTCCACAAGGGCAGCTGGAGAGTTGCACAGAATGATGGGGATCCATCTTCTATTGTTTTCAGACTGTTGAGTTCAGGACAGTTCTGGCTGCACCAGGTGATCAATAATCCACCTGTAGGCAGACTCAGAGATGATCCTAATAAGAATGATGTCATTTGCAAACTTTAGGAATTTCATGGACTTGTCATTTTAAGCTGGATTGTTTGATTTGACCATAGATATTTTCGTATGACAATAGTAAAGAATCCACTAGGCTTTTCCCGATACGATCCACGTATCGGATCGGACGCCGATATTGGCAAAAAAATGCGTATCGGCAAAGCAATGCCGATCCAGACTGCCGATCCAGTTTAAAAAAAAAAATCCGGTCCGTATTTTACAGTTTCGCCGATTGAAACAATCCATTCCACTATTTTGCGCCAGTGTTCCCCGAATCCGGTCCGTATTTTCCAGAATGTCAGCCGTGTGGGATTATTTTATCCTGCACGATGTGTAGATGGCTAGTCTCCATGGAGTGTGGAGGACATTGGGGAGTATAACGCATTTTTGTTTAACTATTATTTGCACAGATTTTTTTTTAAGCAGTGTCTTTTTTCAAGAGTAGAGTCCTGATTCTAAGTTAATAGACTATTTTCCACTCTTGTCTGTTTTGCATTTTTATTAAAACTTACAGTAATATAGCACCTTTAACTGTTTACGGTTTTACTGTTCACTGTGCAATATTAGATTGCTATTCATAATT